TGTCCGGTGTGTGTCTTGAAAACTGACCTAAAACTGGGAGGGGCCTATTTTGTAATCAAACATCAGGCCTCAGAAGGAAAACTGGAGTAGCCTGTTATACTGGTGGCCCCCAATGAATCATGCCTGTTGCTATTCACCTTCTTATGTAACCTTTACTCCCATTGATCCTGAGTATTGGCCATGTTATTTGGCTTGTTTGTGTCAGTAAGCATGGGCAAGAATGACATAAGAAGAATTTGAAGTATTTGGACATTGGCATTTTCCCTTTAGGAACACTTCATATGACAGCAGTGAGTTCACCATAGCTTGAAAATGCCCTAGATTAAAAACCGCATGTGAAGGGAGGTGACCCAGCCCAGAGCCAGCACAAAACGCCAGCTGAGGTAGTGTGACACCAGCTGTGCTCCCCCAAACACCAAGATAATTGGAGCTGTTTCAGTGATATCAACTCACAACACATAGACCAGAAGACCCATCCAGCTGAACCCAGACAACCCACAGGATTATGAAAAATAATGTCAGCGTTGTTTCAAACCACTAAGTTGGAATGGTTTGTTATTAACTGATAAGTGATACATTTCTAATCAAAAAGTAGAACATGCCAGAAAGTACTCTTGCAGCATTTTGTTATCCACTCACTATCACCCCTCCTCCTTCCACCCAGGGCACCACTGATCTGGAATAGAATTTCTATTATAGCAGCTTATTTTTGTCAGTTACATAACTTTATATGTACAGAATCAATTAATATATACTCTTTTGTGCCTAATTTTTTTTTTATTTCAGCATATTATGGAGGTATAAACGTTAAGGTTACATACATTGCCCTTGTCTCCCCTCCCACCTTGAGTCAGAGCTTAAATTTTTTAACTAAACGTACTTTTGAGATTTATTCATATTCTTGAGGATGTTTCAAAATAATAGAGTCAATTTCTTTAACAGATGTAGTTCTATTTATATTTTCTAATATTCTTGTGAAAGCTTTAAGAAGCTGAGCTTTCCCAGAATTTGTTCATTATATCTATGTTGTACAGTTTTTTATAAAGTTGTTTCTAATAGTCACTGCTGTAATTTTAGTGTCTGCATTATCTGGTAAGTAGTGATATTGTTCCTTTCATTTAATATATGAGGGCTATTCAGGAAGTATCCAGTCATTATTAATACAATTTTTCATATTACATGGCTGGATACTTTCCAGACAGCCCTCTTATTTATTAGTAGCCTATTGGTAAACATTAGAGGTTCACCAATTTTGTTAATTGTTTGAAATAATCAACTTTGGGGTTTATTGATTTTTTCCTATTAATATTAAATTTCTGCTATTTTAATTCATTGATTTCTGCTTTATCTGTATTATTTACTTTCTTATATTTATTGTGGTTTAATTTACTCTTACGTTCCTATCTTCTTGAGCTGAGAATTTACATACTTGATTTTTAAAGTTTCCACTTTAAAAATATATGCAATTAAAGCTATTGTATCCCTCCTAATGTGGAATTTTCACTTTTAATGTAATTCAATATGTAGTATAATTATTTATTGTGAAAGTATACATTGTCATAATGCATAATATAATTGCCCTGTTACATTTTTATAATTAGTATTTTCTTTGTTAGTATATTTATCTTTCACTATTGTTGAGGACTATTTTATGCATTAGTATTTTAATTATGGTTTTTAAAAAATATATGTATACTTTTATTAAGGATTTCCTTGAATTGACATTGCTATGTCACTAGAGAGGCTGTGCCATATACTAGAATGGAAGTATATTTTGGAAGAAAACACAACTTTGTGGAAATAATATTTTTAGTAATTACTAGCAATCAATATATTTGCTAGATGTATTAAAATATATTTTGTAAAAAAGCATAAAAAGTAGAAACAAAACATTTACTATTACTAGAATAGCTGCCTATGGAGGATCTGGAAATGGGGATTATAATGGATATATCCATTATGTAAATAATATAGAGGTTCTTTGAAAAATTAAAACTGGAACTACCATGTCACCCAGCATTCCCTTTTCTAGGTATATACCCAAAGAAAATAAAATCCGTATGTCTAAGAGATATCTTCATTCCTATGTCCATTGCTCCATTATTCACAACTATCAAGATATGGAAACAACATAAATGTCTTTTAACAGATGAAATGAATAAAGAATTTGTGATATATTAGTATATATGTATGTATGTGCATACACATATATGTATATCTAGATCTAAATTTATTTATACATACACACAATGGAATATTATTTAGTTTTTAAAAAGGAGTAACATTTACTTGCAACAAATGTGGAAGAACCCAGAAGACATTTTGCCATGGGAAATAAGCCAGACACAGAAAGAATACTAGTGTATGATCTCACTTACATGTAGAATCTAACAAATATTGTCAAATATATAGAAATAGAGGGACGGAAGGGAGGAAAATGGGAGATGTAGGTCAAAGGCTACAAACTTGCAGTTGTGGGATTAATTAGTTGAGATATTAAATGTGCAGCAGTAGGACTATAGTTAATTGTGTTGTATTACATATTGAAAATTATCTAAGAGAGTAGATTTTAGATGTTCTTGGTACACACACAAAAACATAACTAAGAAAAGTGATGCATATGTTAAATTGCTTATGCTTAGTTATTAGTTCACTATATATATGTGCATCAAAGTATCATGTCGTACATCTTAAATTGATGCAATAAAGACAGACACATCGTTTAAAATGTTTGCTCTGCTCTACAGTTATGAATCAAATTCCATGTTTAATTTCAAGTAAATGACATTCATGTTACTAACTTACACAGTTGACCCTTGAACAGCATGGGTCTGAATTGTGTGAGCCCACTTATACACAGATTTTTTTCCAACCAATGCAGATAGAAAATGTAGTATTCTCAGAATGAGAAACCTGCATATACGGAGGGCCAACTTTTTGTATAGGTGAGTTCTGGACTTGAGTATACATGTATTTTGGTATATGTGGAAGTCCTGGAACCAATCCCCTGTGTATACCAAGGAATGACTGTATATGATTATGAATATATATTAGAGTCATTATTTCCCCTTCTAATGGTTGTCCCTTATTGTTTTCTTTGGGATTCATTCAACTTATAATTCATTAAAAATTAATTTGAAAAATAGCACTAGACACTGTTTACTTTCCTGAGACCTATGAGCATATTAAAGGAAAAAAATAGCATAATAGAGTCAAAATAGATAGGAAAGTGCAAAATATGACATCTATACCTCACTGCTGAATTATAGCTGGTTGCGTGGTATGCTTGTCTAATAGAATGTGGTAGGAGGAATATTGTGCCTAGGATGCTGGGATTGCTCCCAGGTCGGTATAAACACCCAGCTCTACTCTCTCCTGTAGCACCATAGCCTCACCACACGAGTAAGTGTGACCTAGGTAGCAGTTCCCAACCTTTTTGGCCCCAGAGACAGTTTCATGGAAGACAAATTTTCCATGGACCGGCGGGCAGGGAGGATGGTTTCAGGATGATTCAAGTGCATTACATTTATTGTACACTTTATTTCTACTATTATTATGCTGCAATATATTAAATAATGAAATAATTATATAACTACCATAGGTTGGGGACCCCGGACCTAGAGGATAAAACACCATTTGGAGGAGAGCTCAACAATCTCAGTAAAGAACCATCCGACTTCTCAGTTTGTGAATAAAGCTCTACTAGACAGCACGAGACAGCCATCCATGATGACTGTACTGTGAACAAACCCATCTGAGATCAGCTGATTGCTCCCCGGGGTTAGTATAAACACCCAGCTTGTCCAAGAATCTGTGTTTGAAGTCACTGATTTCGGAGTGATTTATTTATTGGCTGTAGCTAACTCTTCAGAATGTGACAAGAGCATACATGAGGGATACCAAACACAGGCTTCTTAGAGTACATAAGAGGGCTATGGAAGAATGCAGGGAAGAAAATCCTTGTTAGAAGTGACACCATGAACACATGTCTAGAAATTAGAATTAGGAAGTCAAAAACATTTTAGTCTGCATCACAGAAATCTTTAATGAGAAATATGAAAGATCATGAAGAATAAAATAAACAAATGTGGCAAAACTTTCTTTGAGAAATAGTGAAGTTTACATTTTTGTTCTTTAATCTTGAATCTATTCTATTCAGGAAAATAATTACAATTTCCTATTTGGTTTCTCTTCTATAACTCAAAGCTTTATTTTGCTGCTTTGATGTTCTTGATATGCTATTATTTTCATTTAGCTGAGACTTGCTTCTCCTGTTGGATTAATTTAGCTGCATTAAGGAATTAGATTTTATTCCATATTTTAGTACCAGTCTTGGTTTACCATCCTAAAGGTGGCTTTATTGTTTCAATAGAGTTTATCAGATCACTGCCACGTGGGGTATCATTTCATGCAGAGGTTCTGGTCTTTCACTTTGAAGAGAATTCAATGAATTTGAATGCCTAATCTTGGAATTTTTGAGCTTTCTTTTTCTAGCCAAATGTCTCCAGGTCTCTAAACTTGTATCTGTTCCTCTTCATTTTGTACTAATGTATTCTGGTTTTCTTAATTTTCAAAAATTATTTTGTTTCTGATTGTGAATAGTACTAATATATGTGCTATTTTCTGTAATCATTTGGATGTTTGAATTGGAAGAAGAAATGGGTCCTATTGTCCTTTCCTTTCTTCCTGTTAATTAAATAATTCAATTTTTTTTCAATGGTTAAGTATAATAGATGGAATAAAGGCAAGATCCTTATCCTGGTAATATGATCTCATGTGTTCTTGATGAGAGATGTCACTGTAGAGAAAGTCTATTTGTAATGACAAAAAAAGTGAAAAGATACTTTTGGATCCTTAATTCAATAATAACTGTGATATTATCAAGATAGTAAGAATATACTGGGGACAAGGAAGAGACAAAATAATAAAAGATGTAAGACTCCACATTTAAGGCCCCTTGGTGTATTCTGATAAATTGAATACTCAACTTCAACATTCCTTTACTTCTTTGAGATCAATGAAATTCTTTTGATTAAGTCTGTGAAAGCTTGTTTCACTTGTTTATTCCTCAAGGTATAAATAAATGGGTTTAACATGGGGGCAAATGATGTATTAAGCATCGACACACCCTTATTAATTGCCACTCTATCTTTTGCTGAAGGTTTGATATAGATAAAAATACAACTACCATATGTGATAGAAACCACAATCATGTGAGATGAGCAGGTAGAAAAGGCCTTCATTCTTTGCTGGGCAGAAGGGAACTTTATGATGGTCTTGATGATATACACATAGGACAGGACTACACACAGAAGTGTCATGATGGTGGTCAGCACAGCAAGGGCAATGATCATCTTCTCTATAAGCCATGTGTCTGAACAAGAGATTTTTAACATAGGAGAAGCATCACAGGCAAAATGATCGATGACATTGTAGTCACAGAATTCCAGGTTTAAGCCCAGGCAAAGTGGTGGGAATATGACCAACAAACCTGCTATCCAACAGCAGGTAACAAGCCATCCGCAGACTTTGCTATTCATGATGGTCACATAGTGCAAGGGTTTGCAGATAGCTACATAGCGATCATACGACATGACGGCTAGGAGAAAAAATTCTGTAGCTCCAAACAAGATGCCAAAAAATAGTTGAGCAACACAAGCATCATAAGAGATAGTCTTGTCCCCAGTTGACAAGCTATATAGGAATCTGGGAATACAGACTGTGGTGAATAAAGTTTCTAAAAAGGAGAAATTTTTGAGGAAAAAGTACATGGCGGTTTTAAGGTGGGAATCCAGTAAAGTGAGTGTGATGATGAGCAGGTTCCCAGTCATACTCAATATGTAGGAGACAAACAGATATATAAAAATCAGAACTTGCATTTGAGGATTATCTGTAAGTCCTAGAAGTATGAATGTAGTTAAAGATGTATGGTTTCTCATCACTGACATACTCTTCTATTAATTTCTTGACAAACACAAATTGCATTGAATTGAGAACAGTTGTGTGAGTTCAACAGACATTAGCTACAAAATCCAATCGTTGCAAACAATAGTCATTTTCTTCTTTAACTTAATAATGACTCTTGTCAAAACTCTGGTTGATTTAGCTCTATTAATGTACGTTATATATCCTGTTAAGAGAATATTTTCTTTAACTATTATCTGTATTACAGTTCATATTTTATAGCCTCTTGTACTTTCTCATGTCTTTTTATTCATTTTTTTCTTTGTCAATTTTTTTCTGATAGAAAAGACTACCCGTGTGGTATAGTTTGATGAGTATTATAACATCCTGCTTTTGCTAATAATTCTTCACTACTCACAGGTTGAATCCAATGACTCTGCTTGACATGTTGCTTCCTGTTAAATGGAAAAACATAGCTATTAAGTTTGACAGCTGGGCAGTATGAAGGCCTGCGTATAGTATTTCAATGTTCTCCTTCATTGTTAAGACTAGGAGATTATTTTATTTTTGGTATCAGAGGAGGGTCATCTGAGTAACAACCATTACTCTCAAATTTTGCTATTTATCTCTAAATTTCTACCCTAATTGACTTTTATTCTAGATTCTCTCTGACAGAATGTGGTGCTTTTGTGTGTGGTATATAAATAATTTATATGCTACAGTTTTGTATAAAGGAATCATTAGGTAAAAACTAAAGAATGGTGAAGAATAGTATCTCGATTGTTTATGCTTTCATTATTTTTAGATAAGACTGATAATGATTATCAAGTTCGCTTTAATTACAACCAAACTAAAAATAAGTACATGTTATAAGTCATTGCCAAATTGCACTTATTCTCTTTGCTTCATTTCATCTACATTGACAGTTCTTTTACCTCTCATCTAATCATTTGGTCCTCAATCCATGATAACCTAGTCTTTCCACACATATTCTAATGCACCCTCTATTATCCAGTATATCCTTTTCCATAAAAGCAGTATATTCTTTTTAGTTGGTCTTACTGATGCATTGTACTCTCGATAATTCTTAATTTTTATACCATTTAAAATCTATTGAACCATTAAGTATAAATCTATGTGCAGACAACTCTGACACTAGTTTCTTTTGTCTACTCTAATTTTTAAAAATTCATTTTTGTAAGATACTATGATCTAGAGAATGCATAAAACATATCTGTCCAATTTATATAATCTAATTAATGATAAAACTGCATAGTTATCAGTCAGGTCAAGTAATAGTCCACAGCCTAAACCCTTTAAACCTCTGTTTGCTCATCAGTGACCATGGACTTCTTCCTGATCCCTTGAGCTAATCCAGATCCTGATTTTAAAAAATAATTTCTTTTTTTATGTATTTCTAACTATGTATACATGCTTAAACATACACAATTTTTACATGAGTTAAATTTTTTAAAATATTGTTCCAGATATGTGTTGACATTGTTATGCAGAGAAATAGTTCATTTTCATTGCTACAATCCATTTTTGAATAGATCCCAATTCATTTATTTATTACAATTTGTCAACATTAAAAACAGTACTGCTATGAACAGGGAGTCTTCCCTACATGACCACTCTTTCTTAATCCTAGATTTCTAGAATGCTAAAAATAAGAGGGATTAAATCTCTATTATTTATGCTATCAAAGTAATGCTTTTATCAGATTTACAGTTATATTTTATGATAATACATGGTTTTCCCACCTCATTTCTATACTTTTGTTGATCCATAAAGATCTCTTTAAGTCTCTTCTCTCACTTTTATACATGCTTTCTGATATTGTGTATGCGTTCAATGAATATCTAAAGGTTTGTAATTCTTAAGTCTCTGTCTCCAGACATAATTTCTATTCTGAGCTAGTGACACATACTTACTTGAATACTGGGCAAGTCTCACAAATATCTCAGAATCAACATGCTTAAAAATCTGTACAGCCTCATAGCTACTCTTTATCCAGTGTTCCCTATTGAAAACAGAAAAAAAGGTAAACGACAAATGTTAGAATGATCCCAGTGGGATTTTGCTATGTACACAAATAGATATTGAAATAAAAGTAGGTATGTATGCATTTATGAGTATGTTTCCATGTATCTTCCCCAGCATCAGCAGGAGATTTAATGCCCAAATCTTGGTTTTTAAACATCATTATCCAGGGATCTTTAGAGATAGGTTGATTATAAAACAAGGGCAGAGAGAATTCCAAAGAGCATAAAGTATATTGTGCTACTAGAAAATAGTTATTAAATAAACAACAACAAAAAAATGACAGCATGTGAAAAAGATATAAGAACAAATCGGAAAGACCCAATATCAAAATCTGGAAAAATTTGAGCAACATCATAAATAATAAACTAGGTTGATTAAAGCTGAGAAACTGGCAAACTTTCTCTGCAAAAATCTAGATAGTAAATATTTTATGCTTTATAGTCCACATAAAATCTTTGTTTCTCATATTTCTTCCTGTCCGTCTCATCCTCCCTCTTCTTATCTTTACTGTGTAAAAGAAATTCTTCGTTGTGGGTTATATTGAACAGGCTGCAAGATGCATTTGGCTCATTGGCTGCAGTGTGCTGAACTATGTGATTACTTGAAGAATAAAAAAATTACCAATTATTTCATAAAAATAAAAACAAATGGCTGAATAAATTAAAATGTGTGGAGAAGGGACAATTCTTCCTTAGAGAAGTCAGCTTTATAAATATAGAAAGAATGAGGGAAATGGGAAAGCACCTTCACAACGCTGTGGTAATAATAGCTGTAGGTGAGGTCCTTGATGGATGCAAAAATTAGGGGATATTGCACAGTTGCTCAATATCTTCCCCTCAACATTTATTAATTGCTGTGGAATACGTCTACAAATTTTTTATACTCCTTCTTCCGGGAGGTGGAACCGAATTCCCCTCCCCTGAATGCAGGCTGGATTTAGTAACTCGCTTCTGATTAATAGAGTATTAAATGAGAAAAGTAGTGAATGGCCAGTGAAGAAACTTGAAAGGCACCAACTCCAAAATCTACTACCTAAGTCTCATCTCAAGAAAACTTCAGACAAGCGCAATCTATCTTACCAGTACTCTACAGAAGTGTCAAGGACACGAAAGACAAGGACAGCCTGGGGCTGAGTCACAGGTTGGAAGAGATTAAGGAAACATGTTACCTACATATAAAGTAGTATCCTGAATTGGATCCTGCAGTAGAAAAAGGACATTAGTGCAAAAATTGGAGAAATCCAAATAATGTCTATATTTTAGTTGTTAGTATTGTATTAATGTTAATTCCTTAGTTTTAATAATTGTACTATGATTATGTAAAATGCTAAGATTGGGGGTGAGGGTTATCTGGGAACTGCCTGTACTCTCTTTTCAAATCTTATGTAAATATAAAATTCTTTCATAATTAAAAATTTAACAAAATAAAATAAAAAGTAAAAAGGGAAACTGCAGCTGCTATTCACTTTCTATATGCCAGGCAGTATGTTGTGGCAAATCTTCACATGGATTATTTGTCCAGTATTTACTCTCCTCCAATCATCTGTGCTTCTTCCACCATATTTTTTTTTGTGGTGTTGTCAGTTTTATTCCATTGATAAGTAATAGAATATTATTTAAAATTGATGTGCACAGTTAGATTTATAGATTAATTTTAATTAGCAATACCTGAATTGCATGGAGTCTAAATGTCAATATCATAACATCTACTAACAAGACCTGAAATGTTTGCACTTTTTGACCATTGAGATTACATTTGTAAGATGATGATGTCAATTATTAGAAAGGAATATTTATGTATGAAACAATTCTTCAGAATCTTTCCACCAAAGGAGGACATTAGCTTTCCACAATCCAAAATAACAAGATATCTACAAATTTGAGTGCAGTCTGTGTCCTGGTATAACTCTCTCCAATAGCGACTTCATATCTCATTCTTACCTTCACTAGCCTAATACTGATATTCCTTCTCTTTTATGGCTTTGTTGTAATCTCCACTGAAAAGTTTCCTAAAATTTCTTTGTCCAGGTTAGATACCTTTCTTTTTTGCCTGCTCTATCACACTATGTTGATCTTTATGATATCACTAAATACGTGAATATAATCTTACTGAGATTTGACTATGTCTTATTCAGTGATATTCTACAGTAACTAGTACTACTCAAAGTTTATGAAGTACTGAATAAATTTTATTGGAAAATAAATAAAGTTTATATTTACTCTTCTTACTCAGAATAAGCAATCTACATGCTCATTTATTGAAATTTACATTCTCTTTTAAGATATGTTCTTTAGCATAACTATGCTATATCCTAGACTAGGGTCCACAAACTTTTTTATTAAGGGCCGAATAGTAAATATCAGAAGACATATATGATTTCTGCTACATGTTCTTTTTCTTTGTTTTTTGAAAAAAACTCTTCAAAATGGAAAAACTATTCTTTGTTCCCTGGCTGTACAAAAAGAGGCTGCAGGTCAAATAAGGTCCACAGGAAGTAGTTTGCTGACCTTTCTCCTAGACTAACAATAAAAATATCAATAATTTGTAACTCTTTGTTTGGGTCAATAACTATTTTGTATTTAATTCTCTTTTTGATCTAATTACTTATTTAACAGCTACTCAGATATTTTCTGTCTTTAATCATCATCTGGATAGCTTGTCATTTTCCTTTATTGCTGAAATAAAAGGCATATTTATTAGAGGTTCTGGTTATATTCTGACATGAAATTTCATTTGGTTGCTTTAAAATGTTTCTTTCCTAATTAGGGAAGGGCAGATATCAGCTCACACCTGTTTTTATAAAACAAAATAAGGGAATGAAAGGTCACGGTTAGCCTATAATTTAGATTCTCCACCAGAATTCTCCTTCAGAATTTAGAATTCTGTCAGATTCTTCTTGACATCAGTTTAGGCTCATGAAAAGACAACCACAGCATTTCCAACTGTGGTATAGAAATGCATTTATTCTGCAGCCCAGGCACCTCCCCTC